TTTGAAGAATCCAGGATCTTATCCCTGGTGTTTTTTCTGGGTTGTGCAAGACCAGCTCTTTAAAAGTATTAATCACAGAATCACAGAACTGTAGGGGTTAGAACGGACTTCGAAAGATCATCGGGTCCAATCCCCCTGCCAAAGCAGGTTCTTTAGAGCAGGCTGCCCAGGTAGGCATCCAGACAGGCCTTGAATATCTCCGGAGAAGGAGACTCCACAACCTCCCTAGGCAGCCTGTTCCAATGCTCCGTCACCCTCATCGTGAAGAAGTTCTTTCTCCCTGGCTTTCTTGTACCGGGGAGCCCGGAACTGGACGCAGTACTCCAGGTGAGGCCTGACCAGGGCAGAGTAGAGGGGGAGGATCACCTCCCTTGACCTCTTGGCCACGCTCCTTTTAATGCACGCCAGGATCCCATTAGCCCTCTTGGCCACAAGGGCACAGTGCTGGCTCATGGTCAACCTGTCGTCCACCAGGACCCCAGGTCCTTTTTGTCAGAGCTCCTCTCCAGCAGGTCGTCCCCAGCCTGTACTGATACTTCGGGTTGTTCCTTCCCAGGTGCAGGACTCTACACTTGCTCTTATTAAATCATAAAATTATAAATTAATGCACCTAAAAATTTGAGATTGCCCCAGTGATGTTTCCAAAAACACTTTCCAATTTTCTGGCATTGATACTGCTTGAATAACTTTAAAAATAAATGTCTGGTAGTGATCATATCTGAGGAATAAAGCAAAAAAAAGCCTGTATTGGTTAAAAAAAAAAGTAAAAAATGTGGCAATACTTTCTGGGGAATATATATATATATATAGGAATATATATATATATATATATATATTATCCTATCAAAATAGAGGTCCTGGACCTGTTAGTTCAATGGCAGTGACAGAGACTGACCCTGTGGTAAGAGCGTTCTCTGGGCACATGACAGGTCAGGGTTCATCTTGCAGTCACTTCTGTGAAAGGAAAGATTGTCAAGGCTAAGACCATCCAATAGCTTCATAGCTGACAACATGAGAGTCTGAAATCCAAGAGTCTTATCTGCTTTGTTCATAAATCTTATTCTTCTTCAGCTAAATCCCTCAATGATTGGCTTCCAGAAGATGTATTAGAACAAGAAACGTAGAGAGCTACCCACCTGTGTCAAAACTGGTGTAAGTCAACCTCTGTGGGTGTGTGTACCTACAAAGTTATACACATATTCAATTTGGTACTGATACTTTTTGCTAAGAGTCAGAAATTTCAGCCTGCTCTTATCTACTTTCTGACAACCACCAGACTAAGGTATAAAGAATGGTGTGGACCATTGAGACTGATTCTTAGTCTGTCTCTTCCTCTAAGATTTAGTGGTTCCATATTTAATATACACGAATCTGTGTATAGAGGCTGTCACTCTCTTCTTTTTCAGATCACTTAGAAAAACATAGTAAGCATGACATAATACTTTTCAAGATGTCCTCTGGGAGAATTAGGAATATAAGAACTACCATTTCAGTATTTTATAAGACTAAAAATGAAATGCATTTGAAAGTGGAGAATGAAGAATATCAGTGAAAAAGCCCAAGGGCTTATTTATACGCCACAATTATGGAGGAACGTTTCTAAGCATTTTTAAATGGTAATGATCCTCGACAGATCACCTTTTCAACCTGTATTGATAGCAGAAAAATATCTTTTGCTTGTGCCCCCTAAGCACAAAATGGTTGTGGTGGGTGGGTTTGATAAAAGTAGGAAAGAGGTTCTTCTGTTCTCCACCATCCTGCAAGACAACAAAAGGCTTTTTGTATTGAGCACCAAAAGACCTACAGAAGAATTGGTGGCTCATCAGTATTGTTGAGCACAAAGCTGCAAATAAGCTTCCATCTGAAGAGCAGACAGGCTATTAAATAGGCTTATAGTTCTGCGCCACCAGATTCGTGTGACTGAGGTCTGAAAGCAAATCCCCAGGGTTTAGATGAAATCCCTGACGAAGGGCCATGAGGATACCTTCCTATCTTGCTGTCCTGGCTTCGTGTTACTTTTTCATAACCAGAACATGAAAACTGCTGAACTGGGAGCTCATTTTTTAAAGCAAACTTTGCATACTGCAGTTCATTTAACTGTGATCTAGTGGGATCTGCTGTCAAGAATTCAGGTCAGGTTCCAGGACTCTGAGGGCAAACAGCAAGTATCCTCTCCAACAGCAGTGCTGCTGTAATTTTGACAAGCATGTACTGAAAAGAAGGCAAGAAATATGGGTAAACTGCACAGCCTGAAATTTCCTTCTTAAAAAGAAATGTCTCCAGAAATGCAAGGACACAAGAAGTGCAGTTCATCTTAAGAGAGTTCTTCAAGAGAAATTGAGGCTAAGGCTCTCATTGCCAACTCTAACCACCTATAATTTGGCTCATTCTATTCTCAGTAGAGATAGACATCTCCGAAAAGCAGTTCTTTTAAAAGAAGTAGGTAAATCAATCTCTCTGTCTACCCACCCTGTGCAAAACTGTACCTTTCCTGAAAGTAAGGACAAATTCATGATGGCTTCAGTTAACTCAAGTTTCTTTATGGAGTTTGGAGTCCTTAGTTCAGCCATTGAGCTCCCAGGGGAATAGCCCATGGAACAAGGCATTCTATTTGGAAGTTCATTTCAAGTTCAACTTTTTATTGAAGAAAATGAAAATTTGATGAATGTAATGACTTTGCTTCAGCTTTGTCACCAAATAACATGTCCTGAACCTTTACTTTACTTTCTTGAATGTTTTGGCTTTTTCTTCCTATGGTAAATTCTTTAATTATCTTTATAAACTTCTGGTTGTTGAGATTCACCTTGTCAGGACAAAAATATTTATTCTCAATTTTAAGTTTTATTAATTCACAAAAAATGTCAGGCTGACGTTTCACACACACACATAGTCAGAGAGAATGCAGAATATTCTGCATTGCCAACACATAAAAAGACTACTGTAATGTTGCATTATATGGTGTCCCTAGTAATGGATATGTTGAACTTCATTGCCACAGAACCTTTACTAATGATATTGAGGAAGATAAAAGGAAAACACACTGTTTAAAAAAAAAAAAAAAAAAGAAGAAAAGAAAAAAAAAGATACCCTTCAGATTTCAGGTTATTTACCAGAAAGTTCATTATGGGACTACATTTTAAACACTTCTCTTACTTCCCCTTTGTTATATACCTTTTGATCATCCAGGTGATCAACCACTATTACTGAAATTCATTTAGAGCTTTTAACCTTACCTGACTTAACCACTGCACTGTTAGCAATTGTTTTCTCTTTAGGAGCAAGGACATGTTTAGATTTGACATGAGTTAGTTATGGTTATCTTCCTGTCATCCAGATTTGAAACAAAACAAAACAATGACTTTTTTTTGTCATTGTTTTTATTTTTTTCCTTCCACCTACAGTCATTGCCAAGAGCATTCCCCACTGCCTGCAACAGACAGTACTTCATGTCTCAAAAATCTAACATCCCCAGCTTTCACCCTAAAGCTCATTCCAGGCTCACCCAAACCTGTGCAGGTGTTTACTCTACACCAGGCCCTGTAAACAACAGGGGAAATAATTTCTGAGACTTGGTGTACTAGCAGCCCTGGTCCAGAAGTATGGCATTCATTTACGTTTCTTTTACTGTCTTTTGGTATCAACTGTAACTAAACATTCATGTGATCACGTCACTGTTTAAAATAGGTAGTTATGCTGCTATAAAACCACAATATGTCATTGAAAAGTTGGTTTGGTGCACATCTGTGATTCCTTAAGAGTGGGTGTTTGCTATTTTTTCCATATAGCTGTGCATGTGTGTGTGCAGTACGTGTATTTATATAAAGAGAGGTACATATACAAAATGTGAGTTATTCTGTTTTACTCTAGCAGTCTTTGCCTCCCTCTTTTCACTATTTTTCTCTCCAGTAAATATTCTTGGTTTGGTGATCTGATGCTGGACTCATTTTCTGTTAATGATTTAGTGAAGGAAAGAAAGAAAGGAGATGAAAGACCGATATATACCATTATCCTTTACTGATTAGATTAGATCAAATGTTTATTAGATTTGTAGTTTCTTGAATGAAACAAGTATTGAAAGTTCATGGGGCTTTTATTCTGAATTTTAGAAATGTTAGGTATGAATAGCAGTAAGAAGGACAGCTGACCTGATAGCCAGGAGGTGTAAAGACAAGCTAACAGCTGTCAGACTGAGGAGCATAACATCGTACATCGTCATATACAAACTGCGTGGCAGACTTCTCTATGTGTAACAAAGAGTCAGAGCTTTGCAAAACAGGGGTACCTCCTATAAATTTTAGCCTAGGAGCTTCTTCCTTTTGCTAGTTTGAATCAACCACCCTTAAAGCCTTAGGGCAGTATGCAATCAGCAAGACGTTAATATGCCTGTAGCACTAATAGTGGTCTGACCATTTCTCCCGAGTGCTCTCTACTCCCTTGTTAAATAATGAAACCATCCTCAAACAAATTATATTTGTTGTTGTCTTTTTATTTTTCGTTTTGGAGAAAATGTCCTTAACCCATTTTCAGAATCAGATATACTACTAGCAGCCCAGTTGCATGTGTGCCCCCCAGCACTTTTCTGGGATTACTGGTGTACATAGGGAGCCAGTATGCATCCATATTATCAGAACTTAAATGTATGCATCAGTTATGAAAGTTTAGATCATCCACATCTATCCTCCCTTAAAAGGATGTACAAGACCTTGATGTTCCCCAGTAAAAAAAATGTAGTGTGCTCTAATGATATATACAAAGTGAATGAGTGGAGATAGGAGTCTTCTGGCACAGGAAACCTGTACTGGCATAGGAAGCTGTTGTTTTTTAAATTAACCAAGCCAATCAGTGATGTCATGGAAAAGCACAATAGTTTTTTTCTAGGCAGAAGAAAGAAAAACATAGCTTTCTTATTTTATTACTAGAAAAAGAATATATGGGGAGAGTTGTGTATGTTCAGGCTTTTTGGAATTTAACAGTACTTTCCTTTCCTTTTATTTTGCTAGCACCTCTTGAGCCTGTAAATGTGATCTACTGGAGCTGACCTGAAATATTATCTGCTATTGAGATGTGTGTTTGTACAGTCCAGGTAATTATTTTCTTAAACATTTCTGACATAATATTTCTGAATTGCAAATAAAAGCAAATGACAAAACAGATATGTAGAAATCACCTATCATAAAAATCCAATCTATTCTTAAATCTCAAGGGTTTCAGCTGCTCACTCCTAATGCAAGAACACTGAAGTCTAATAGAAATGAGCAGCAAGTAATAGGAAATAGGAAATGAGAAAAATATGCAGAAATGACTTGCATTGTTCTGGATCAAGGTGCAATTCAAATTGCATGATCACAGACAACTTATGCCTCTGACTACACGATGTAAGTTATCAAGTGGAGGTAGCAGCTTGCTAGTAGATTTTGTTGGTAAAAATATAGGGAAGTTATTCCATGTTGAAGATTTGACAATATAATTTGCTTAAGTTTTATGTGCAAACACATTTTTGGATGAATACCCTGCTGAGGAGCTTGTGTACCATTATTCTTAAGTTTAGAAATTTATTTTTAAGAAAACTACTGGCTATGATCCCTACTATATTGTTAAAACTGATGGCTAGAACTTTTTTCTCAAGATCAGATGTTCTGGAGCATATCAGCATGTGTGAGTAATATAAATAGTGAACTTGCAGTGAAAACTCTTACATTTTTGAGTGGTTCTTTCCAAGAGTAAAAAGTAAAATGTTTGAAAAGTACATGCATGTTTTGAGAACAGTACAGTTAGCTAGGTGAGAGGGTTCAGCTTTACGTGTTAGGAACTATAGGAAAGAATTGAAAGCAGATAGTGAAACATTTCAGTGTTTACCATTATCTAAAATTTCCTCTTGAGTTTATTCCAGGCAACGTAATGGAAAGTTTTTGTCTGTTCATGGATAACTATCTGTATGTACACAGGGAGCATCTTAATTTTGGGTTGTGCTCCCAAAAACAAAATGAATTTGTTGTCTGAAGACATTCATTAAAATGCCTGCTTTACCTAGAGTTATAAGGACAGAGGCATAAAGTATGGGGAGAGTATGGGGCTAGTCTCAAATCTATTTTAAGTCCACTTCAGAAATTTATTTAATACAAAAAGCACAAATAATGTCCATAAATTAAAAAAAAAATAAAAAATTACCTAAGTATTTCCTTCCAGTTATGCCCAGCTAAATCCTCTGGTTTATGTTAGTTGTATGGAACAAATGTCTTCTTTGACAGCTGTTCAAATAATAGATGTTAAGTATGAGGGAAGGTATAAGAAATCTGGAATTGTAGAAGATGTATGATAAAATACAGGATTTGTTTCCTGAAAGTGATTACATCACTTTTAGAGTCACTACATCACTAACAGAGGAAATTCATCGATTTACGCTTTCAATTTGACCGTGTGTACTGAAGCAGATGAAGGTAACTAAACACTTGTTGTTACAACAGAAAGTTTATGAGAAGGGGCTCCAAATCACCATAGTTAGCTTTGGATACAGGGGTGCCTATGCCTTGGCACAGCACTGGCTGTGAGTTACGTGGCAGCCCTGTTACTGTGAATGTAACATTGCCATTAGGTACAAAGGGCTCCAAAACCTGAAGTCAGAAAATGTTTATATTGTTTTTGTGTGTAGAAAGATGGAGGGAACAGATGTGGGTTATGTACTGCATTTCATTTGAGGATCTGGTAATTCCAAACATGCTGTGTATGGTGGTGTCTATGCAAACATTCAGATACTGTGTTTCAGATATTAAGTATTTCACATGTACTTTCACTCATGCATTTAAAGTCTTGTTTTTATGTTGTGAGATCTGTTTACTTTGAACCCAGATTAGTAATAATTAGTAGTTTTCTACAGTTCATAAAGAAAAAATACTGTTTTCTGAGAGGTTTTAAAAGCTTACTGTGGGCGCAATTTCAATAATGAGTAAATAAATAAGAAATAATTGCTTTGTTAACTGCCTACTGCTGTATGAAGAATTTGAAAGTTGTCCAATAGCATGTAAGTCAAGGGCATGGAAATGTGCTTGACTACATACTCTGATCTGCAATATTTTGTGTATGGTAATTATGTGGAGATTGCAGTGCTCTACTTAAATGTTTTACTTGGTAATTCAGAATTCTTTTTTTCTTCTCTCATGCATTAAGGAGTGATAAAACAATATTAATTTACTGTAAAATAATACCACAGTTTGGTGTTAATTGGCATCCCCTCTTACTATTTGTCTGTATTGTTGCTAATGAAGTAACCATGTAAGAACAAGGCCTTACCTAATAGATCTTTATCTCATCACCCACAGCAACCTCCTACACAGGTTCCCGAGTCATTACTAATAATTAAAACAACTAATAAATATTAAAGAAGCAAAACAAAAGCAGTACTGGGTGGGATTTTACTACAGCTTAGGGAATTGGTTGTTCAGACCCTTAGGCAACTAAAATCCTTTAGCTGTCTCAGTGAAAGAGTGGATGTTTTTCAGCTTCCCAGCCTACAAAAGGAAAACTGTGGTAACAGTCACTCCAATCCACCTGGGACCTGAACATGCCTGTGTGTGTTTATCAACAAGGAGCGCAAGTTGCTGTGTTCACTTTTTGTTAAGCTTGCAATGCAATCTTTTTAGTGGTCTTTATTACTCTACTACAGCAGAAGTCTGTCATGTATGCACTCTAAGTGTAGAAGAAGAAATGTATTCTTTGGTGCTGTTGAAATCGACATGCTGCAGCCTTCAAAGCTGCTGTGTGCCAGGGGCCTGCCTGGTGCTGGCTGCAGCCAGTGAGTGCCTGCCGGCCTTCCTGGCTCTGGCCAGGGGATGAAGAAGGAAGCTCAGCCTTTCCCAGTCCTCCTGACAGTGCTTTCTAAGGCCACAGTTTCTGCCTTTCCCCAAAAAGAGCAACAGCCTGCTGCACTGGCTGCCCCACAAACAGCTGGCCTCGTTCTCCATCTCTCTTCTCTTTGGGCCTTTCTCATTTTCAGGCTGACTTAGCAGCTAGTTTAGAGAAAGAGGTGTTACTTACAGTTAAGAAAAACGCTTGACTGAAAAAAAAAAAAAAAAGGTTCTACATGTTTGGAAGGCTCTATGTTATTCAGTCGTTGTACCTGGAGATCTGTACGGAGGCATGTATGGCTACCACTCCATCAATAATCCAGCTTCTCTAAATCAACAGTGCCAATATTCTCACTCTTCACTCATTCCTTAAAATATTAAGTTAAAGGGAAAACTATTGCAAAGAAAAAATGTCCCTTTAGAGTGCTAATGTGGTTTGCATTCAAAGAGGAAGTCAGTTTTGATTAACAAGGAGGTAATGTTTCCCCACAAGGGTGGGTCGTAATGATGAATAAATAATGTAATCAAATATTAAATTAAATTTATTTAAAAACCTTATTTGCATGTTACTTTGTAAAAAGCTTATTGAAGTAGTATTTTGTTTACTCTTTTTGTTCTTAAGCAATTTTGTGATATATAGAGAAAACGACATAACATTCAGTCTTTCAACACAACTGCATATGTATTGATTATTTCTTTTCCTAACAAATCCATGACCTTTTGCTACCTTTCCTCAGAATTTCTTCAGGAATAACTTCTGTTACCATCACCGAATATTTCTGAGAGGATGAAGTTGGAGGAAATTTCTGTTCTTTGTTTCTGTACACACATTCTCTTTAGCACTTCTTCCCCATCAGAGGGAAGCGATAAAGTCCTGTTCCCAACAGCTCAGCTGGGAGAGCAGGGCATGAGGCGTCGGAGGAGAGGAGCGGCTGGAGGACATGGGCTACACTTACCTTGTCTGGTACAGCACTCCTTGGGGATTTTGATAAACTGCAGCAGACCATAGACAAAGCCAAGGTTGGGTCAAAGAACCAGCGAGATATAAATGGCCTTGCTCTCTGTTGCGCTCCTGCAGACAGCATTTAGCCTTGAGGCTTTCCATTCACAGAATGGAAACTTAAGGTACTTTGGTAATACAGTGGGTCACATTTTTGCCTAATCCGTAGCAGTTGTATGCTCTGTAGCAGGTTTCCAGCTGAAAGAGAAAAGGGTGGTTGTCCTTTCTATTCTGCCTCTTAGTGTAGAGCATTTTAATATTATGGCATTCTTCTGAGAGTTAACTTGAGCACTTGCAGCATGTTTTAAAAGTGCCTCACTTCATACAGCATGTCTCCTAAGGACTGTTTTTCTTGGGTCAGTGTGATTCCAGTAAGGGTTCATTGATAAAACTTAAGAAGATTTAAAACGAAGCTTCTCCAAAAGAGCCCATTGTTTCTGATTAACATGAATTGATTTGATGGAAGTGTTTCTCCAGCTCACTGGCAGGTCACTTGTGTAGTAAATTAAAGACTGGGCCTGTAGGCCCAACAATAATTGAATTTATTTACTGGCTTGTGTTTCTGTTTATGAGGGTGAGCAATGGTTTCCATTACAATGTGTTTGTGTAGCAATATAGCACACCTGCTTTTCAGAAGACAGTATCATAAAGTACTCACTTGGATTGTCTTGTCTCATGTTGCAGAGGTCACTGTATCTTGTGCTCTATAAAAACAAACAAAAGTGCAAGAGCACATAATAACTCTCCTTTAAAGAAACAATTAAAACTAGTAGTCATAAAGACATACCGTTGAATAAGATAGCACTTGAATTTTTGTGGAAATGCTGAACAATTTTAAATGGTTGATATATCCGAAACTATATATGTATATTGATATAATAAATACATTTCACTACTTAAAGATATTGAAAGCCCTGTATGCTCACAGAAAGCCACATTTAAATTGTACTGTAGATATCAGTGAAATCTCTAATATTATACTACACGGTATAACGTGGGAAGAAATCGTACTAGTATTTTAAAATGGGAGGCTTATATAACTCATGCAAAGACTAAAATGCTAAGGCAGTGGAATAAATCTGCGTAATGTTACTTATTTTGTTTTATGGTAATATTTGATATGATTTATTTGAAATAGTCACTGAAGTGATGGTGATATACGATACCTGCAAGATAACAGAACTGACATGATTCTGAAAATATTGGTGAAACATTCAGTGTTAATTCTTTGTTCCCATTTGGTGGATCTGTATAGATGAAGGAAAGACACTTGAGTTTGTGTTTGGTGATATGTATGATGCCCTTACTTCAAATATGAAGATCTTCACCTTGTGAGTAGGAGGTAAACACACACCCTTTTTTAATGCCAAAGCCATGGGTAGTAATGCTGTGAGGTAGGCATACATTTTCTAGTCTTTGCATATTCTGTGAGCTAAGGCTTAACTGCAGAAGGCTGTTTGCTGAAGCCATGCTTAGGTACTGACAAGTGAGCTACATGGGTAAAACAGCTATAGTGCAAGGATACCAGTTCAGGATGCTGATAAAAAGGATGCAGCAGGAAGTAATAATCCCACACGTGAGGCTGAGAGCCCAGGAGGTAACTCCATTTGCAGGCAAAACATAACAAAGGTACTAATTAAAGACTATTTTGATTCTGCAAAGATCAGGTACTGTTGCCTATCAGAACCTTGGGTATTGACTGAGTTGGGGAAAGTAAGGGAAAAACACTGAGAAAACTCAACAAACTATCCTTTAGATATTCTGAGAAGCAGAAACTGGGAGCATTCCCATGAATTCTGGGTTTTCCTGGTGTGGGGAAACTTCCAGCAATAGCTTTGGGACCTGAAACACTTTGTATTCTCAATCAGGTAGTTTGCAGTATGTGGTCCTTGTACCCCAGTGATAACAGCTGCATCAAATTAGTGTCCATATGACAGGCATATCACCGTGGAAACAAGAGTGGTTGCAGAGTACTTGATTTATAGAAATTATAGCTTTAATAAAGCATTTCTTGCTCTTTCAAGTTCTGATTTAATTAGAAAGAAAAGTGATCTATACAGTGTAGATGCTATCTCCACCAGTAATTGGAGCTGTATATTAACACAGCTGTTGGTTTATTTCATCTTATGCTGTCTCTGTTTTGAGTGCTAGGCAGATACTGATCTATCTGCTTAATCTGGCCTTGTTACTTGAACGGTAAACAAAACTTCATACCGGGCTTTGTGATGATGTTATACAGCAGTATGTGGCCATCTTATCCAGAAGTGTGGCCATAATTGTGATAAAAGGAATCTGAAAGGGAAAGCGCTTCAGTTCATGGCTGAATATAATTTGCTCTCTGTCTCTGAAAGAAAGTTACACTTCTCTGGAGCAATTTCTCAGACCTAAATGTATTTGAAGAGTATGGCCACAAATATTGCTATACCTTCCTGTTCTTTCTTACAGTGACACAAAGGGTGACAAGATCAGAAATTCTAGCTGCAGTAATATCTTAAAATAAACAAAAAGCCTTGTAACACAAGTGCTATCTGTGTGATGGCACTAACATCTGTTGCACTAATTCATAAGCTAGAGTGTCAACAGTTCTCTGTAAAAGTCAAAAGGGGGAGTACAAAAACAGCAAGTATGTTTGTACACAAAGAAAGGAATGGATGCACACATATGAAAATAAAACAGTTATAAATGGTGATAACAATTGAAAATGTTTATCTCAATGTGAGGTGCATAGCTTAATTTTGGAAATGATTTTAAGAAAATAAATGAAATAAATTACACCCTAGAATAAAATTTACTGGTACAACTGAGATAAAGAAAAATACTGCCATATAAGTTAGTTAGCTTCTGCATGACACACATGACCCTAGAAAACCAAAAGGGACCTTTAACATTGTCTAGGTAATTTAGCAAATCACATGATCATTTTTTGACTTCTATGTCTGTGTTTCTGCTTAGAAGCATAAATACCATTTTAGAAATTCCCAAATTTGCCAGCTGCAGTGTTCTGAGCTTCACCAATGACTGCCTTTCTCTTCTTTTTCCCTCACTCAATATGTTGTGAATGTTTCAGTACAGAAATAGTTGCTAAACTGATCCTAAATAATAAACACACACTCCCACAATCATTTTAGAAAAAATCTGAAAAGGTTAGAATAAATCTAATAATCAACTGCCGCAAGAAGTGAAAGGAGGAATTAGTGTGATAGGCTTAAGTGTGAGACCATTGCAAGTGATGCTACTAATTAAAATCCATATTCTTAGTGTTTACACCCTCTCTATCTGAGTAACTGTGGCCTCCTACAAGCAATCATATTTACTATAAAGCCCACATCAATCATCTTCATATCATTTGTACACAGTACAACTGTGTTAGGTAATGCTTAGGAACTGGCCTAATAAACAACGTCTAAGCCTTACTAACAATGTATAATGTATAAGTATGTCCCACGAGTTACTATTTTCTCAAAGTTTATACTATGTGTCCATTACTTTCTTTAGTGCAAGGTAGGAAGAAGATGGAAATGAGTATTGGTGATGAGTCAAGAAATGTCACCTCATTGCTTTCTACAACTACCTGAAAGGAAGGTGTGGGGAGCTGGGGGTTGGCCTCTTCTTGCAAATAACTAGTGATAGGACTGGAGGGAATGGCCTCAAGTTGCACCAGGTGAGGTTTAGGTTAGAAATTCGGAAACATTTATTCTCAGAAAGAGCTGTCAGGAATTGGAATGGGTTGCCCAGGAAGGTGTTGGAGTCACCATCCTTGAGGTGGTCACCAAAGAAAGGTTGGACTTGGTGCTTAGGGACATGGTTTAGTGGGTGATAGTGGTGGTAGGGAAATGGTTGGACCAGAAGATCTTGGAGGTCTTTTCTTTAATGATCTATGCATCTGTCTCAGGCTCAGAGCTCTCCTGAAGTTCTGCTGCTGCCTGTTCTGCCAGCACAGTTACTTGGGGTTGGGCTGAGCTTTCCAGAAGCATGTAGTAGTCACATCCCATTGCTTTGCAGCTGTGTGTGTGTGTGTGTGTATAGAGATTCTGACTCTGGCAAAGTGGCAGACACTCTCTTGCAATTCCAATATGCTTCATTCTAGGTAGCAAATTTACACATGATAATAAGCATGCGAACATGTGTGGTGGTTTTACTCAGGTGGGCAGCTGAGCTCCACCACAACCGCTCTCTCACCCCCCTCTCCTCAAAGAGGAAGGAAATACAACTTTCCTTCCTCTTTCCTTCCTCCTACAATTTTCTTTTCCTCAAAGAAAATACAACACAGAGAACTTGAGGTTTGAGATGAGAAAGGTTTAATTAAAGAGAAAGGGAATGGGGAGAAAAAGAAACAAAAGAAACAATAAGTCCGCACAGAAGCACAGAAAGAGGGGGAAAAAAAAATATTCTCTACTTCCCATCAATGAGCAATGTTTGGCCACGTCCTGGGAAGCAGGGCCTCAAAACGCGTAGTGGTTGTTCAGGAGGAACAGCCCCCTCCCCCACCAGAGCCCCCCTTTTTATTGCTGAGTGTGACATCAGGTGTTATGGAATATCCCTTTGGTTGGTTTAGGTCAGCTGCCCTGGTGATGTCCCCTCCCCATCACTTGCCCACCCCCAGCCTGCTGGCTCTTGGGGGCTTGGAAGGAGTCCTGATGCTGTGCCAGCACTATGTAGCAGTAGACACAACACTGGAGTGATATCAGTGCTGTTCCAGCTACGAGTGCAGAGCACAGCACTGTGTGGGCTGCTGCAGGGAAAAGGTGACTCCAGCTCAGACAGACCCAACACAACATGTCATTGTTTTCCAGCATTGCTTTAAGTGCATGGTAAACTTCCGGGCTAACATAAATCACTTCCAGAAAACCTTTACCTGATGCAATGCATTATACAAGGGGTTGTTCATGACAGGCTGAAGTATTGTCAGCCCACCTAAAAATGATCCTAGTGCCTACTTTCCATGTCCACGGAAGAGCATTTGCAATGATCTGTGAAGCCTGTAAGATGGAATGGTTGATGAACCTGCCTGCCATGGGCATGCTTCCTTGAGCCCCATGCCTGTCACATTTGTGAATACTTCCATTCCTGAATGCAACAAAAAAAACTACAACGTTATTTACTCACTAGCTGTTGCAAACCCACTTCAATGTCATTTGGCTTGTATATATATTCAGAAACTTTCTGTCATTTACATGCAAGTATGTCACACTGCTTTATTCTCCTGACAGTATGAAATAGTCTGTCTATTCTAACCGGTATTGCATACTCTGCTTGGAGAATACTTTTATCCGAACACAGGTATAGAGATAGTCCTACCTGAACAGGAGAATGTGTTCAAGTATTGCTACAGTTGTTCTATCCCAGACTGTAACAAAAGATTCCTATCTCAGAAAAGAGCCCCAGTTCAAAAATGTAAAATTTTAATCAAAGCAAAACTCAAGCAGTTAAATCAAACAGACCTGAAAACCAGAAAGCTTTGTTTCAGAGTTCTTGAAGTCTTTCTTGTATAGTTTTCTTCTCTAAAACTGGAAATTACCTATCCCCATGAAAATTCTAGTTTTCTTGAATTAAGATTTATTTTTTTTTCAAAGGAAAGGTGACTATTCTGTACTGTATTTCAGTACGGGTTTTTAGTATACCTTTCATCAGTAGATAAATTTCAAATGCACTTCCATCTTTCAGGACTCTCATCTCAAATACCACTGCTGCCCAAATATCTAACTAGGAGGGAACAATTCTGCCTCCAAAAAAGGATTTTTTTGGAAGAGATTAAAGCAGAGAAAAAAAAATACTGGATACTTGCCACACCTTCATCTGGAATAGCTTCATGTAACCCACTGCAAAGAAGAACTGTGCAGAACAATTTTTTGGCAATCCTTTCACAACTCATATACAATATTACCTTACATGTTTTTAATA